TCAATGGCTTCTCTTGATCTGAAAAACAGTGACAAGACAGAATGAAGTACCTGGGAACAGAAAGGTCTCCCTTTATGCTCTTCTCCGGGTTACAGCGAAGGGTGACCACTACGCTCCGACCGGAATCACATGATGATGTTGAATCCGAGGACCTACAACATAAAATTTATGTAAAAATAAAATGTTCTCAGTGCCTCTAAAAAGATCAGAGAAGAGATTTTTTTTTTTTTTAGCTGCAGTAACTGACACTGTTAAGACACGGCATATTAAAGTCAAGTGACAAATTACCATATTTTTTGGACTATAAGTCGCCCTTTTTTTTCATCCTTTGGCTGGGTTTGCAGTGTCTGCTACGCCTGAATAAGTCGCCCTTTACGTTTGTTATTTTCACACTGACAGCCGCTAGAGGGCACTCTAGGTTTGTGTAGCAGTATCTGCTACTACTGTACCACTGAAAATGTCATGTTTGTTATTTTCATACTGACAGCCGCTAGAGGGCAGTGGTACAACTTATCCTCCGGAGCGACTTGTAGTCCGGAAGATAGAGTAAATATTAATGGTGCAGCTTTGTTTCTCGAAAAATACTGTAAAGGTGACTTGGGTGTCCTACGGACATCAAGAGAAAATAGGGTTCACCAGGGGTTACCAACTACGATTAAGGGCCAGAATTTTTTTTTTTCTATACACGGTGTTGAATACCCAAATATAATGAAATAGAATTCACATTATTATTTGATGTTTCTCTGGGAGCCCAGTGGCAGGCTGGGTTGGGTGTTCTTTAGTCTGCAAGGTGATGTTCATTAGAACCTACAGTATAAAGCCTGAGATTTGCAGGCGTCTAATATAAGGTAAAGAAACTTTATTGTCCAGATGCACAGATTTGTTTTACTAAACAAATACTCAAGTAGAGCTACATAATTTTTACTTCATTACATACAATTGTCATTGATAAATAAGAGACATCACCAACATTTTTTTTTTCACAAATATGCAAGTCATTAGGACTTACTTGTAGTAGAAGTTGACATCAAGGACTCTTTTGGACGTAGGGGGGAACAGCTCTGGTTTCATTTTTATCTCACCGAGCTTAGTTTCTACTGACGCTCCTGTTACAACGAGTGCATTAATGACTGACTTCTGTTCAGCGTCAATGTTATGGTAATGGTATGATGTCTCACCACATCAGTATACTAACCTAGAAAAGTGTCAGCAAGGTTAATCGACTGTGAAGACAGCGCCGTGTGGAAACCGCGTCCGGTGGCAGGAATTATGGTGGACTGGCAGATAAAGGTCTTCACGGCATTGGCTCCTTCACCTTTTTGCCTCTGCTGGTCGGTAAAAGTTAGGTCTGTTACGTTGTCCGTGCAAGCTGCCAGATGGTCCTTGAACAAAGAGGGAGAGCCCTTATGTAGCACGTCATTTTTCTGTACGTGTATTGACATAATACATGCAGATAAATGCGTATGTGTGTGTGTGTGTTTGTGCGTTTTCTAGACACCTGCCCTCCGCACAGACTGATGTTAAAGTGGTGAAAGTACTTGGTGCCTTTGGAGGTGAAACTCGGTCCAATCATCAGTGTTCCTACTGAGCCAATGAGGCTAAAGTCAAAGGTCAGAGAGACGTTGCCCTCCGTGTGGGTGAAGAGACAATCGCTGTAACATGAGTTGCGCTCCTGGGGAAAAAGACGCACATATTGTTGTGAATCACATAAATAAATACTAATCCCTGGGAGTTTTCAGATTCGGATCCTACGGCAGAGTATTAGGGCCACATTTAGAATTGAATAAATAAATTCAAATTACAAGATTTAAGTCATAGATTTTGATAGTATGGTTAAAACGTTAAGTCAAAACATGTTTGTTACGACTTCATTCTCATAGATTTACAACTTTTTTTCCTCACAAAATGAAGCCTTTTTTTTCATAAAAGTATGACATTATTTTTTTTTACTCGAATGTTACGATTTTTTTTTTCTGTCGTTTCAACTTTATTCTCATAGATTTTACGACATTAATCTCGTTTGTTAATGTGTTCAGAAAAACCATGGAAGCATTGAATCAACACAGCATATTGGAAAATAACTTAACGTTCTCATTTTGAACAGTGGTTACGATGAACCTCAATTAAAGAGTGGAGACAACAATGAATACATTTTTTTTAGAGACAAACCTTATCACTCTTGCTCCCGGGTCCACAGGGTTTACAAGCATCAGGTCCCAGAGGGGCATGAGAAACAAGATAGCTGTTCAGAGGACACTCCGTGCACTGGCTGGTGTTCTCATCTATGTAATGTCCAGGTGGGCATGGTACACAGGTAACGCTGGACACCTGGGTGCTAAGCGCACAAGCCTGACATGTAGAGGATACGCCATCCACGGCATTAGTTACTGAGATGGAGTAGATCCGTGCCATGTCATTTATTTTTTGGTGTTTTTTGTAGCACAGGGGGGGGGGGGTTCCCGTTTCCTTTCGTTTTAAAAAAAAAAAAAAAAAAAAAAAACAATATTCGGACGTACGAATCTTTTTACGGACCTACGAAAAAAAAAAAGACATTAAAGGATAAAGAGTGAACAGCACACAGTAGCATTAAAGTATGACATGAGGGTTTCACTATTGCGTTGAGGCTAAACAAAGAAATGAATGTTTGAAAAAATCACTCCTGGAACGTACTTTTAGATTCAAATGATTACAAATCACATTAGATGTCATCGTGTCCAAAGTCTGTGTTGAATCGGTGATTGACTGTATGGATGCCACTGACAAATTTCTGCCTCTATTAAAAACATGCACAAGTACCGTATTTTCTGGACTATAAGTCGCACCAGCCAGCGTGCCCTCAGAGTGCCCTCTAGCATCTGTCAGTGTGAAAATAACAAACATGTAAATTTTTATATATTTTAATATACAAGTCCCACCTGAGTATAAGTTGCAAACCCAGCCAAAGGATGGGAAAAAAAAAACGATAGTCTAGAAAATACGGTACATTAAGGGCAGATTTGACAAATGGTCTTCATCTCAAGTAATAGCGAGTACAAGGTAAAGTCCAATTTCAATGTCAGGCCAGGGCACACACTTACAGCTGAAGGTTGGGTTCTCCTCTGGAAAGCCCAAGTGTAAGAAACTGATGCGTTCTTGGTCATGACGTGTGTGTAAGCCTGTCTTCTATTAGGTCCCCTCCACGATTCAACCACGGTGGTGCTCTTTCTGTTTACATCCTATAAAATGAAGTCAGCAGATTTGAGTGATACGGTTACATCCAGACACATATATATACATATATATATACATATACACTGTCTGGCCAAAAAAAAAATCGCCACCTGGATTTAGCTAAGCAAATAGGTACGAGCCTCCTATTGGATAATTACTGCATGGGCGATTATCTTTCAGCTGGAAACAAATTATTTAACCCCAACTGGTGCAATGAGTTGCTTCTCATTTCCTAAACAACCATGTCGAAAGACAAATCCCGTGGTCGTGAAAAAGATGTTAGTCTGTTTGAGAAGGGTCAAATCATTGGCATGCATCAAGCAGAGAAAACATCTAAGGAGATTGCAGAAACTACTAAAATTGGGTTAAGAACCGTCCAGCACATTATTAAAAACCGGAAGGATAGTGGGGACCCATCGTCTTCGAGGAAGAAATGTGGCCGGAAAAAAAGAAGAGAGGCAGGGGGAGGGATGCACCATCATGCCTAGTGCCCACTGTACAAGCCCGGGGGGGGAGGGTTATGGACTGGGGGTGGT